AAACAAAACAAAAATACAAATCTCTAACGGCGTTCCAAAGTTCCCCCACCGGGACAAAGCGAGTTACACAAGATATCAAGGTTAACAAAATCTGTTAGAGCAGACTAAGCTATCAAAGCTAACACATGTTTTACAGCAGTCAAACCTACACCCCACAAAATGGCAAGCTGTCTGAACAAAGGATCAGCCGCGCATTCCCCTAGGAAGTCCTTTGGTTTTAAATGGAGGCCTAAACAATGATTGGTGGAGCCGGCAATTGGTGATCCAATCACGGTAGGCCCCTAGGTGTGTCACAGGAAAACAACCGCTTCCAGGTGCAGTCAATTTGATCAGGCCTCTGGAAAAAAAAACAAAAAACAACACAAACACAGAAAAGGCCACTGGCCGTAACACCTCCCCCCTCAAATCCTAACCTAAAAGGGTTTGAGAGGAACATTTCCAACTGAAGGAAACTACATAAGCTACACTCTAGATAAAGCATCTGCTAAGAAGTTGTCTGCACCTTTCTTATGTTTAATATTAAGATGGTAATCCTGTACCAGTAACGCCAAACCAAGCTTCATCCAGAAGATGATGGAGGAGACTCATCCACGATCTCCGACACTAAACTCTCCTCCTTTTGCATGTTTCCTCTGTCCATAGCATTCCTTGACAGTGTCAATTATAAGTCACCAATTTATTGCTACTTGGTCCCAATGGAATTTCCCATTGAGAACCTACTAGCACTAAGTTGCTAACTGGTTAGCAAGAAGCTTCCGACAAACCGGCCACAACCAAACTTGCTTGCAAACCTTCCGCCACCACAATCCCGCCCCCTTGATAAACGACCAATCACATTCTCTTTATTCACTCGTGTAAAGTCGTGCACCACTCGGGAGAATTCGGAAATGCAACGGTTGGACTGACTGTTTCCCTACGACTTTAAGCCAACATGTTAAAGGTGTATATTGTTACAATATAGTCTGATAAAGAGTACATTTATATACATATTTAAGCCAGAATAATTTGACATTTAAATACGACTTCCCTACGACTTTAAATATACAACCAGAACTTTTAAGTCAAGCATACTGAGCGTGAGCAATGGCCTTGTTAATGTGCAGCTCTCAATGCAACTTTGGAACTGTGGCAAATTTGGCTTTTTAACAAGCTGGTGTATCACAATAAAATAAAATCCAGTTTAATTCTAGTGTGATACATTGTGGGTTGTGATATTACTTTTACAAAATTCCATCATAACAAATGGATGTACATGCTTTGCAAAGAATGTTATGTGTTCTACCAGTTGCAAAAAAGATGTGGGTTAAAGTTTTGCAAAGTCTTCTTTGTTTTCTTCATATTGTTGGAAACCAAATCCTTCCAAAATGCTGGATTCAAAGACCAGTTCAGGGATCAGAAACTCATGCTGGGAGAAAGTCACAAATACTTTTTGACAACTGGATTTGTTTAAACTTTGATTTGCCCTCTGGGACCCTTTGGCCTACTGTTTAGGTTTTGCGGTTTGCTGCTTAACTGATTGGTGTAAATTCTTGTTGTTCTGACCAGGCTTGCTTCCATAACACAATTTCAGTGAATTCCCAACTGTGTGCTCCTAACAAACATTTTTTGCTTACTTATATAACTTTGAGTTCTGACATTTAAAGATTCGATCACGGACCAAAGAAATGAAGTGTTAAGTGACGTCTCAAACCCTCCATTGTTCATCTCTTTCCATATCTAGTGGTCCTGTTATAAATGCTGACTTGTTGTGCTGCAGCAGAAATAAGAATGTCCTTAAGGCGGGACGCCACTGGCCTCAGTCTCCTTCTGGAGTGTTTATTGTTCTAACATAATGACTATTGTTGGTGGTCTCTTGTTTAGCTGTTTTACACTTCCCTTGACTCCCCTAACTGAGGTTAAACTGCTTAGGTATAGTTTTAAAACCGCAATTCCTTTGTTTCGGTTTCAGCATGCCAGCCATCATGAGCAGATTTCTTCTCTTTATGGCAAGAAAGTACAAACAATTAACAATGAATGCAAAAATAATGGACTTTAAGTTAAACATATAAATATGTTTTAGACAGTATTCCCTCCTGATGAACTGAGTCATATTTTGTCATGTTCAAAGAATAAACTTTAATGATTTGGAGATTTTGAATCTTTAATTTAGTTTTTAGTTTTTCTCTCTCGTTTTTATTGTGATATTTAATTATTGTTTTTTGTTTTACCTTTATAAGATCTTAGGTGTTTGGAGTGTTTAAAGTTAAACAGTTTTCACATTTTGGTTTTGGCTCAAACCTTTTAGAAGTTTTGCTGTTAGGGTCTTGCCGTACTGATTTTTGTTTTGACAATAGGTGTTTCTTTTGCTCTCTAGTTAATTATTTAGTTTCTTTTCTCTAATTTATCTTAGTTTTGCTTCTTTCATTCCTGGTTTCATTCATTTTATTTTGCTCCTGTCCTCTTCCTTTTCTTTTGCTTTGCAATCTGATGAATATTTTTTAGTTGCATCCTTTCTTCTTTGCCTCTAATTATCCGAGTCAGTTCATGTGTTCAGTTCATGTCAAACCCGCTAGCTTCCAGTTTTCATTCACTTTCTCTGATGAATACTGGTTCCCTGCCTCTGTAACACATTTCAGCTTTATGACTGTAAGATTATAAGTTTTCTTCTAATTTCATACAAATTACCTTTTTGCCTCCATCTTCCTGTCTGCACATGGGTCCGTCCAAGTTCAACACTTCCTTGCACAATGTGTTTTGTTGAGAGATGTTATGCAATAATCCAACAGTCATAGAAGAAGTTGAGGTGGATGGAAAGTTGAAAATATCTTCCGAATCAAAATGGATTATGAATTTCAAACGATAGCATTACCTCATCTGAGGCAGTCTGATCACCTCGATTTTAACACCATAATATGTGTTTGATCCACTGTTAAACATTTGAGCAGCTCCAGCAGGTTATGTTATGGATTTGCTTATATTATAGCTTGCCATATTCTGTTCTGACGTTACGTGTTTTCCATGTATTTTCCTATAGTTGAGTTGCTGTGTTTTTTTTTCTTTTTGTCTGTTTGTAACTTCTTTCTCTTGTCCTTATTTCTGTATCCTTGAATTTGTGCTCTTGGTTTAACCCTCAAAGTGTTTTCCTCTTGTCTGTTAACAGTCAGTTCTTTGCACTGCTGTTTCCTCATTTGTTGCATAGATTACACCCAGTTTCCACACTACTAAACATTTGTAGGATTCATCTGGTCCTCATTTTCACTTTGTCTCCACATCACTTATCTTTTTGATCTTCCTCAGCATTTCCACTAAATTTCCCAAACTTCTCAATCTGCTTCCAAGCGTCTATCTTCACCTTGGTCCGGGACACAGGAAGGTAACGCATAATCTGATTCAGCAGTGAGACAGAGAGTTGTTCTGGGATAAAATAAGCTGACATTTTGATAAGCCACAAAATCGATTTTTCACTGAAAGCACAAAGCTTTAACTCATTAGTATTGGTATGGTATTTGTTATAATTACCTGAGATTTCTTGTGTAGCTTATAAATTCATTATACCTGTCTTTATGTTTGCTTTGACTTTAGAATAGGAAGTACCTGTTCTTTTTTCTTCTTTAGCTGTATTATTTTGTTAAATATGTTGTGCCTCTTTATGGAGGACCTGAAGAGTCGGTGAAAACTACAACTATCTTAAAATTTGCATTTAAATATCTTTAGAAATTGAATTTGCAAGGCGTCAGAGGAACTGGAAACTGTATAAATACACCTATAAATGCAATACTACAATTTGAAAACCTGAACTGAATTAGTAATACCTGTCCTTATCAAAAATTTTAAAACGTTTTTCCTTTTTTCCATTTTTTTTTTTCACTTTTTATTCTTAAAGCCTTTTTGCAATCCAATTATGTTTTTCTTTGCCTGCTTTACTTTACTTTAAGGTTTCCCCTTTCCATTTATCTTACAAAACTATTTTATTAGATTTTTATATCTATGATCTAAAAGGTTACATTTGGAAGAGCTGTATTTATTTATGGCAGACTCTCCTAGTCCTCCATACACACTGGCTATTCTCCCCTGTTGAAATCTTCATCTGTGGGTATTGGTAGTTATTCATCTGAATACGTCTATTTGATTTATACATTTTTTATGCTTATTTATTTTTTCCATCATCAGGCATAGATACATATTTCACCCAATATGAATGTTTCAGTAAAGAAACAGAGACTGACTTTATTTTTGTTTTTATACTTTCGGTTTCTGCAGAACTGGGAACCGGCAGCCATAATGCTGTTTTTTTCTATTAATTAAAGCCGTCCATCTCCAAAGTCAAACTGTGTTACAGCTGCAGTGCAGCTTTCTCAGACTTCAAACAGGGAATCATTCTGGCTAAAGCTGTCTACAGACAAGTAACAGAGAACCAGTCTGACAACTTAGACTGCCGTGGCTCATTGCAGGCCACTCATCACATTGCTGGCCAAAGCAGCCAGTTATCAGTAGGAAACTCCTCTCTTGTAAGGAAGCTGAACCTTTATAAGCTACTATGAGAACTAAGACCCATTGGCATTAATTGTTAGACTGGGTCCTCAAAACATCACCTATGCTGCCATCCTTTCAACCAGCAGATATGTGCTGCTGATATTTTTAGGATGATTCTTGGAACCGATACTCTGTTTTCCTCAATTTGCATGATGAAAATGTTATACAGTTCTCATAAAAAAAATAATAAAAAATGAACAAAACATTAACAATGCACAG